CCATACGCACACAAAACCCTATATTTAGCAACAGTAAGAAACAAATTGCATGTAAAACTTAAATATTGCATGACTAACTTCCCGTCTCGACTTACGCCTTCTCGTCAAAATATCTTATTCAAGCTCTAATCTGATATAAAGCGACAAAAACAATAGCCCAAGTCCTCTAACGAGGGTGGAAATAAGACTATTGATATGTAGATGTAGAACAATATTTAGCGCCTTGAAAACGAACGGTCAAACGGATGATAATATCGTTGTAGCAGACAATTTTATGATTACTTATCAATAAAGACGATGGCTTAAGATGTCGCCGTATAAGTCATTTACAAGCATATTGCATAATAATAATTGTATTAAACACTATAAAAATGAAAGCAGGGCGGGCACAAATAAAAATAAATAATCATAAACAAACCAAACAAATAAACAAATAAATGAATGAATGAAAATGTGCATGTTACCTTGCTATTTGGTAAAATAAGACGATTCTGGAAAAATCTTTTTGAAAATATATATTTCACGGAAAGAGCATTTTTTTTAGCTCAACTGAGACCAATCGATCCGTGTCTTCATTTGATCCATTTTTTATGAAGCATCAAAACAATATCCCCACTTTTTTCTTCACAGCCTTTCAAAATAACTTCATTTAGTATTCCTTAAGGTAGATTTAAGAGAATCATGACATGTTTTGTAAATAGTCGCAGTAATTTGACATGGAACACGTTCGTGAAATTATGATAATTTTCATATTTATTGTATTACACGACAATGATAGTTTTTTKTTTTTTTTTTTCGTAGACAACACTAAAACGTTCTGGCCCAATCGTTTTTGAGATCAAGAGGCTGATAAGTATATTCTTTCGCGAAAAAAAAAAATTATTTGGTATCGTTAGTTCTCCAATCGCAGAACGAGATGCTTTCAAGTTCCTAGCAAAATCTCCTCGAGCAAAAAAAGGAGAAGAAAAAAATCCCCTCAAGCGATGAATATAATACATCTGCAAAACTGTCTGTTCTCAATTTAAGCAGTTTGCCACTTTGCTATAGCAACGGTAAAGCTACCAAATCGACCTCTTAGGAGAAAAATACTTTTTTTCTTTCTTTTTTTTCAAATGAATTCGATTTTGACTTTTGTTTGTTTGTTTTTTGTTTTTCACTATATTGGCGAGACTAATTTTAAGATTAAAGAGATTACGAAAAACGACCTCATGAATTATAAATGTCAGTGCTCAACAAGATGATTTGATACATTGAACAAGATATGGGTATATTTTATCTCTCAAACCCTTAAAGTGCTTTCTGACAATATTCACAGTATTGATTCTACATGGGATAAAATGTTGAATAACCCGAAAAAATTCCAAAGTTTCAGTGCGGCTTCTTGAAGTTATAAATGTTTTTCCATACCATATGCTGTGACGTATGAGGAGTAATTTATGGTTATTTGTTGTTCCTTGTAATTTGAAACACCGGCTTCTATGTAAAAACTAACTTGCCATAATTTGTATAAGAGCAATGGGAAAAACAAYGACGGATTCCAAACTTATGATCTATCTGTGCCCGTAATGTGTTGTATATTAAATGATTACTCCTCATACATCACAGCATTTGCATATGACATAGAAAAACCTTTAACACTTCAAGAAGTTGCACTCAAACTATAATTTTTTTTCCAGGTTATTCAAAATCTTACCCCATGTAGAATCAATACTGTGAATATTGTCAGAAGGATGTTGGGCACTGAATCTACGCTAATTATAATTAAAAATTTATCTTATGTGAATGGGGTTTATTAGGAATCTTTGTCGATTCAAGAGTGTTTCTACCTCAAAAGCAGCAAGAATAGAAATGGAAAAAATTAGGAAAATGAAATAGAAAAGATAAACTACTTCACGCTTCGTCTTGTTAATCAGTATTCGAGAGTTGTACAACCAACAATTGGCGTGCTAAGTCTAGATATATTTATCGACATCTCTCATGATTGTAAATTAACCAACCTTCCTGGTCATTGCCTACGCCTTATTGCTAACCATCTCTTTCTCATGATTATAAACTGACCATTCTCTCTCATGATTGTAAATTGGGCACCTTTCATTGTCTAAACCTCATCATTAACCATCTCTTTCGCATGATTATAAACTGACCATTCTCAGTGTCTACACCTTGTAGACTGAACACTCTCAGTGTCTACACAGAAAATAAAAGGAAAGGAAAGGAAAGGAAAGGAAAGGAAAGGAAA